CACACACACACACACACACACACACACACACACACACACACACACACACACCAGTGGTCTGTGTGACACCCAAAGCCTAAGCAACAAAAGAAAAATGGATATTTTCCAGCAAGATGGCTCGCTCAGTGGGTGAAGGCACTGAGTTCGAGTCCTGAGCTGGATCCCAGAACCAACACGGTGGAAGGAGAGAAATGACACTTGAAAGTTGTTTTCTGACCTCCATCCATGAACCGTGCACATGTGTTCGCACACGCTCATGCACACATACACACACATAGACACACGCGTGCAGCGTGCATGCAAGGCCCCTCTCCTGCAGATTAAAAAAAAACACCACAGGGAGGTACTAGCTCTCACCCCCACAAAAACAGCAGGAAGTAGAACAAAGCTAGCTAGAGAGCACCAAGTGCTGGGGAACCGGGGGCCCAGGACCCTGTGCACTGCTTCAGGGAGCATGAGGCTGTGTGGCTACCTTGAAAATGAGCCTGGCACTCCTGAAGAAGGTTAAACATGGAGTTACCACCCCACACCAGTGGTAATTCTACTCTGAGATACAGAGCCCAAAGAATGAGAAAATCAGAACTCAAACACTGCTATGTGAATGGCGGTAGCACATTCTCGACCTGCCAAAAGGTAGAAGTCACCTACTCGGGCACGGCTGAACCGGCAGGTGCGAACAGGGAGGGTGAGCTCTGTCCAGTGTGGACTGCGGCTCAGCCCTAAAAAGCCATGCACCGATACGTGGACAACCTCGAGAACACGAGGCTGAGTGAGAGGAACAGGGCACAAAGGAACAACATGGCCACTGTGTGCAGAATACACAGACTCAGAAGATCTTCAAAGCAGCTTCCTGGAGGCTGGGGGGTGAGAAGGGGAGGGTAATGGCTTCATGTGAGGGAACTAGATACACAGTTGCACCATACCCGGACTGTACTAAAAGCCAAGGGATTAGTCACTTGAAAACATTGCAGGCATTTAGGAGGCAGAGACAGAAATATCTCTGTGGTTTTAAGGCCAGCCAGGTCTATATAGCCAGTTTCAGGCCAGAGAGGGCTACAAGTGAAATTCCGTCTTGGGGTGGGGGTAGGGTGCTGGAGACACGGCTCACTAGAAAGAGTGTGGAGGACCCAAGTTCAGTTCCTAGGACCTGACACCTTCTGGGCTCCATGAAACTTCTCTCTCTCTCTCTCTCTCTCTCTCTCTCTCTCTCTCTCTCTCTCTCTCTCTCC